GTTTGCAGTAAAGACGACCGACCCGGAACGAATAAACTCTCTTACGTTTATTTTGTGTTTATTTGTACGTAAAGTAGAGACACGCCGCACGTAGCCATGCGCAAAAGGCACTCCTACTCGATCTCGAGACCAAGTCGTAACAAGTGTTTCGTTCTAGAGCAATTTACCCTAATGTGCGTACACTAANCACCGAACGAGAGGATCCCACTCGTTGGAAAAGGGAGGAATGATCAAAACATTCCTCCCCTACCAGTGCGTCAAAGATGATGTCGACAACATGGAGACATTTCACCTTTCGGAATACATCCAAATGGCGAAATGTCTCCTCTCCGTTCAACGCGGAACAGAGAATGCTGTCGACATCCGTTATTCCTGAAGGCGATCCCGTGAAGGAAGAACCCCTTACGCAATCGATGGAAGAGAGTACCTCTCCCCGCTCAAAGGGGAAAAAGACCCTCATTTCATCGATTGCGGAAGGAGAACGCCCTTCACAATTCTTCGTCTTCTTGGGCCAAAGCCAACGCCAAAACCGCCAGCTCTTCATTCTGTAAAGAAACATATATATATATTAATGGGATTCGGATATACTTAACGCAGAAAAAGTACAAAATAATACTCACGACAGAGCTCGCGCTAGATCCTACTGGAAATTGCTAGAACGTTCGAACTGCGTTTGCAGTAAAGACGACCGACCCGGAACGAATAAACTCTCTTACGTTTATTTTGTGTTTATTTGTACGTAAAGTAGAGACACGCCGCACGTAGCCATGCGCAAAAGGCACTCCTACTCGATCTCAAGACCAAGTCGTAACAAGTGTTTCGTTCTAGAGCAATTTACCCTAACGTGCGTAATCTAAACGCAACGACGGCATTTAAGAGAGAAATTGCGCACGAGAATCGACGAAAACATAAGACGAATGTTTAAGTGGCACAAAGCGTTTGCAGAGGGTTACGTAAGTGTGGAAGATGGACTGCACTCAGAAAAGACCGCATTGTGGAAAGAGACAAACAGCTTAAAGGAAAAGAATTCTTTGTGTCCAGCCTGAACACATAACTGTTAAGTGTATTAGATGTGTTTTAAGTGGTACAGAGCTGCAGACAATTTAATTATCGCAAAGTAAGCCATTGAAAAGCGTTGTAACTAATACATAGATTTAATGAAGAAGTCGGAGGTTAAAGGGCGAAATTTTTGACGTCCCGGACGTCATGCTTCAGAATACGGTTTCCGTTTATCCTTCGGTCGAGTGTATATTTCAGTTAAAATTACGATAAGCAATTCGTATTTAGAGTTAGTATTAAATAAGTTTTAATTGAATTTGTATAAATAAGATATTTGCAAATAATCGTTATTCTTTGACCGTGTTTATAAAATATAATCTAAATTAATTAATTACGAAAATAAACCAATGAACGAATACTTAATCCTTTTCGGCGCTTCGGTCGCTTTCCAATGTGGCGGCTAGTTTAAAAGTCGAAAGAGGTGCGTTTCGGATGGTTATTCAAACCCGAAAAAACACAAGTGACGGCAGATGTAAACGCAAATATGCAAAGTCCGAGTCGGCCGATGTCGTCTCCGAAAGTTGGACTAAACGAAACGAAAATAAAATCTTACGGCTAGCTAAATTCTAATTAAAATCTTACTTGGTGTAATGTCGGCGTCCACAAGTCTTCTTAAAACCACGTTCGGGTAGCCGAACGTGGTTTTAAGAAGCACCGACAAAACACCGACAAAAAACACCGACAAAAGGCAAAAAAAACAGCAGAAACAAGAGCAAAGATCGCACACGGCAAGTGAAATACGAGCAAAGTGATGCAAAATCGTGTTGCAACAATACGCGTTTGCATAGAAACGGCAATTGTTGCGAGATTAGAAAGCTCGCAAGGAATTCGAATGCGATTGACGTCATGGATTCTTTTTGAATTTTGAGGCTAAATAACTGCATGTTTCACGTTTCTATCCCCCGAGTTACGACGGATTGGGATTAAGACTCTCCCTACTGCCTCCCTCCCTCGGTTTCCATTCTCCACAAGGGGCTAGAAGCGAGAATTTCTATAATCGAATGTCATCTTTACCTCGCCACCACCAAAACTAGAAGAAAACCTCCCTCTCGTTCGTCCGGTAATTTCCGACCAAGTTTCCGATTGACCGACAGCGCAATTATTACTGAATTTCGTAATATTTCGTTTATTCGACGACATTTTAAGAGCGCTTACCTGACGTCATCGGTTTTATTAAATATGCGTGTTACAGTTTAGTTACGTAAACGTTAATTAGTATAGTAAATAAGCAAATTTTATGAATTCACCTGACCGATAGAAAATATCGTGTATGTATTTTACACGAAACAATCAAATATAGATCTTTCTATATTCAAAGTGAGAAGATCGTTCGTTTCAAGAAATGTAACTGTTTTTTATAAAAAAAAATCTATCAATAGTAACGAGTTGCGTAACTTTCTCGGCTGTTGTGAGATTTTATTTAGAAAATAACTTTTATACTTTTAATTATATTATAATAAATGAAATTGTGTTGGCGCCATCTGTTATGAGATTTTGTTATATAAACTTTTCGTATTTTTAATTATTATCAAACCGCAAAAAGATTAATTTTAAGTATAGAAACAAGTTTTATATAAAAAAAATTACAAATGCTAGTAACGAGTAAAATCTTCAATATATTAATTTTTGTATTGACCGAAGTTTATTTAAATAATTTTACGTAATTGTAATTAAACTTTTTTAAACGTAAGTAAAAATTGTCATCATCTGGGATTTTTTGTTGTTGTGATCAAGATCAATGAAAAAGCTCAGATTACTTTGTAACTTTGACGTTACTTTGTTACTTTGACATTACTTTGTAAAAAGGAAATGTCGTCGTTTAAATAAAATTAATATTAACAGTACCTTTTATTGGGCTCGTTAATTAATTATCGGTTGTTTTTAATGAACATACTTTTCACAGTGACGAAAAAGAATATTATGCTTTAGTTAACTTTATGGAATGAAACACCATGTTTTACATTAGCCCTTTGTTTCCTGTAGCATGGTTTTGCTTAACACGACACTTTTTCGGAAAGCAACTAACGTGTTATACGAGGAGTACGTGTAGTTATGTTGATTAATTTAAATTAAGTTAAACAAAATATATCCATAGATAATGTCTGTTACATTCGTAATAATTTACTCATCGTAAATTTGATGAATTTGATATAGACGAGTAAACGAATTTTGTTCTCGATTGTGTTTCCTTATTCTACGATACCAAACCAATGAATAATGTGTAACATGAGTTTTTCCTCGTGTAAATGAGAAAACAAAATGACTGTATAAGGATGAAAAAAATCCTTATACAGTAGTGTTGCAACGAATAGTATATTCGGCCAGGAGCGTGGCCGAATAGCCGAATATTCGGCCAAACAATTCGGCTTGATGAACGCACGTACGAAAATTGGCGCGCAAACCGCATTATGGCGAGGAACCTGATCTCTATTGGCCGCTGTCACTATGCTTCGCCAATCGCGTTAATTCTTGACAGTTGTAGCGGACAGACACGAGCGACATGGCAATATGTGACAAATGATGATATCAAACATAGATAACAATGAAATGACCTACACGTGTAAATAACGGAAAAAGAACAGAGAAGGACCGCGAAGTGAAAATGAGAAAATAAATACGAAATTGAGTTGATGACATAATCGAACAAGTGGAGGCAGCTTATTGGAGCGAAATTCGCGGCCGTCAATGCCAAACAATTGTTGTCATAGACTTCGGAAAGCTAAATGCTTGTAATAAAAGCGTGCACGGGCGAAAGCCTGGGGCCGTTCGGGCTACCAAGCTGTCTCGAATTTGTGAAATCGTAACTGTGACTTATTCCGACGTCCTATGTGACTTATTCCGACGTCTCTTTTCTCCGTTATCACTAAGCTATGAGTCACGTAATTGTAAAATTGGAAATCTACGACAGAAAAGTGACGAATCGAAAGTATCGTGAGCGCCTATTATGGTGTATGCATAGGCATACGTAAACTAGAGCGATAGAGGAAAAAAAGAAAAGAGCAAAGACGTACGCTTAAAAAGAAGAATAGGCAGGGTCATACCCTCAGATGCGCGACGATTCTCCAACGAATAGGTGTGTGTACGTGTGCTGATCTTTGTAATTATAAATTGTGAATACATATGACTAATATTATTTTCTTTTTTATTTTGTGCATGTTATAAGTTATAAATAAATATAAACAAACAACACTAATCCGATAACATTAAATCTAAATACCAAAATGATTAATTTACTATGTTTTTGTTATTTCTTAATCCTGTTTTTAGGTATTCGGTATTCGGCCGAATAGCGAAAAATAGGCCGAATACTGAATAGTAACCGAATATTCGTTACATCACTATTATACAGTCATTTTCTCCTCAATAATTTATATAAATACAATTAATTTGATTATTTTCGATTACATATTTAAAATCTTGAGTACCGCATTTATGTACGATCAAATTTCGATGTAGCGTACTTTTAAATAGTGCCACTCTCACACCAACGAACACTCGGGTGAACGGATCTTTTGAATAAATATTAAATAGAAAGAACGTCGGTACTTGTAGAGCAGTGTTATTACAAAATCATGTAATAATTAACTCTTAAAAATGCATAGATCTGATTCCTATATGTAATTTTTATTATTTTAGGCATTTCAATTTAATACCAGACTTTATTTCGAATAAAGTTTGGTCGGGCTAAAGTTTGTTTATTTTCCTATTTTAATTTGCTATTCTTGATCACTTTTATGACTTTCTAAAAGTGCTCCATACATTTTACAAGAAGATAAAATCATTCTTATTTATAATGATTTTTTTCGTAATTAATTCTTCTTGATTTCAATCGTTATTTCTTTGTTTCGTCTAAATTATACGCTTTAGGCATTTCAATTTAGTACCAGACTTTATTTCTAATAAAGTTTGGTCGCGCTAAAGTTTGTTTATTTAGCTCAAGTTTGTTCATTTTCTTATTTTAATTTGCTATTCTTAATCACTTTTATGACTTTCTAAAAGTGCTCCATACTTTTTACAAGAAGATAAAATCATTCTTATTTATAATGATTTTTTTCGTAATTAATTCTTCTTGATTTCAATCGTTATTTCTTTGTTTCGTCTAAATTATACGCTTTAGTTCTTGTTTTCCTAGAAAAAAAAATTGTAAAGTTTTTATTAGTAATATTTATTACCAAAATTTATGTTATAGACTCGTCAAGAGTTTGTTGCTTTATAAAAAATATTTCTATGGTATCAGGAGATACCATAGAAACAAACAACACTAACTGTCTCTGTATATAAAATATTGCAACATTTATGACACTTGAACCAGGGCCGTGCCGTGCTATGATACAGAGAGGCAGCCGCATTTGCGGCACCGCAAGGGGGCGACATAAGGAGCATTTAAGAGGCGGCATTTCGAAGACTTGCATCGTACTGAGAAAATCTACCGCATGGCACTGACTTGAACAATGGGGAAAGATAGAAGAAGGATTACTGTTGACTTTGAATGTTTTATAAGAAGACGTTTACATTTATAATAAAACTAGCAGATGTACCCGACGTTGTTCAGGCAAAAAGTAACGATAGCGAAGATTAGATTATAAACCGATCTTACTAGTTTTCACTGAGTGCAAGAAATTCTCTAATTAGTCTCTTTTGAGACTAATTAAAGAATTTTTACATTGTCTGAAAATATGTTCGATTTTCTACAAAGACTCAAAATACCGCATCTGCGCCTGTAAATCTTGCACGCCGCTTTCTCTTAACACTTCCATTGTTAAGGGATACACTTCTTTCATTCCCATGTGGTACCCTACTGAAACGCAGTTAAAAGCAAAAAATTGCATCTAAAATAGTACAGTAGAAGCTGAATTCTTTAGGATAAGCCTTAATTCTTTCTCTCTTTTCCCGTAGGGGGAGAGGGAATTTCGAAAAATCACTTCTTAGTGTACATTTTCGTAACGTACCCTAACTGTGTACCAAATTTCAACTTTTAACCTCTAACCGTTTGGGCTCTGCGCTTATTATTATTATCATCATCATCAACCTATCTCGATTATATATATACAGAAGATTTAATTGTCATAAGACATATTATCTCTTCTGCCTTTATATTAAAATTTCATGCTAATGTCACAGTTACATTCATCTTTCTTTCTTCGTGTACTCAACCAATTTGATATTGAATTATTATACAGGGTGTGGCGTAAAGAGTGGATAATCCGTTGCCTATGGATAGGGGACATCATGGCTATTCAGAAAATTAAACATTGTGTTTAGTAAAAGTGTCATAGTTTTCGAGTTATTGGACATTTTCTATTTTTTTGGAAAATGGACTCCTTCGTTCACATTTTCAATGTTATAGTCACAAATCAAGGATTTTTCCCTGTGTGTTTTTGAATACTAGTCTTGGATGCATGTTCTAACAAACGTAAGCTGTCATTTTATTGTCATAGACTTTGTTTTTTAAGAACAAAAAATAATTGAAAATTTTGTTTCATTTTTTTCGGTGTAAAAAAGTACTGTAACCTGTGTGACAAACTAACTAATAATTTGCATAACTAATAATTACAGTACCTTTTTTACACCAAAAAAAAAAGAAACAAAAATTTTGAATTATTCTTTATTCTCAAAAAACAAAGTCTATGACACTAAAATGGTAGTTTACGTTTGATAGAACATGCATCCAAGACTAGTATTCAAAAACAGACAGGGACAATCCTTGGTTTGTGACTATGACATTGAAAAATGTGAACGAGGGAGTCCATTTTCCAAAAAATTAGAAAATGTCCAATAACTCGAAAACTATGACACTTTTACTAAACACAATGTTTAATTTTCTGAACAGTCATGATGTCCTCTATCCGTAGTAAATGCCACACCCTGTATATGGAAATAAAATTGTCATCTTATGTCTTTCAGATAAGGTGGCCACTGTATTTTTCACAAGCAATTATTTTATTGTGACACAGTCAGAATTCCGGCTGTAATTTTTAATCATATTTTTAATTTATTTAATTTAAAATATATGTTCTCCGCCTCAAATTTGTAATGTTTTGTCCCTGTACATCACATTTTTCCTGTTCCCAATAGAGTCATCCTTGTCATCCCTATCTCTTTTCAGGGGGAAATGTTTGAATTGAAATAACGTGATTTCCGGTTCAAACCGGAAATTCGTACATGGTTATTCGGCATTACAAGGTCTGTTCAAAAAGTATCGGACCTTTATTTTTTTCGCGTAAACCAATGATGCGCGAGAGGCCTCCTTCGGTGGAGTTGTGGAGGGGACAGTCATGCACAGCCCTGAATTTTTTCCCGCCTGCAGGAAGCGTCAGTCGTTGGCAATAGGCCTATGAGTGAGGTCATGTAGTGCGCTCTCGTCGGATTCCACTAAGCTGGAAAATGACTGAACAGCGTGAGCAGCGATATTACATCAAATTTTGCCAAAAACCTTGGCGATACCCGAGTGTAAACCATTCGCAAGATTCAGCAGGCTTTCGGGGACGATCCTCGAGGCCAAAAAAANGAAAATGTTTTAAAGTATTGAAAAGATTTCGAAGGCATTTAAAGAAACTGGCTGACCTCTGAAAACCTTTTAATTTAATTTAATATTGAAAATGGATGTTTAATTCCGTGCTGTTAGCGTGGAATAATTCTAAAATAAATGAAAATTTCTATGGAAATCTTTTTAAACTAGATCAGTAGATTATTTCATTTATCAAATAATGACTTCTAATATTTGATTTAATAAATAAGGTTTCAATTTTTATAAAATTAGTTTCGGAAGATATAGGTATATATGAACAGTTGTGAAGAATAATAAAGCTATTTCTCTTTATTATAATTATTCAAACGCAATTAATATTTAAAGCAATACGTCTCGAAACGTTTAATCCATATTTGCAAACCTTTCATTTTGGGGACGAACACAACTATGGTGATTCCAAATCAGAACTCTAAAGACGGCTCAGAATAGCCTATAACTTCAGGTTTTTAAGTCTCTTCTGTTACAGCGATACAGTATTGTGTTATCATGGCGCAAGATAGAAGAATGACGAGGTGCCAGTGGCGTAGCGTGGATGTCAGCCGCTCGGGGCGGGGGAAAATTTCACCGACCTCTTATTTAGGTATCTCAATTTAAAAGACTAAAATTGAATTTCGTCATAAGTAATGAAAAATTCCGTGCTCATTTCAATCGGTCCGAATCGTAGGTGCGATAAAAATATGAAATGAAATGGTTCAAATTTTTACAAGATATTATTATTATTTATTGCGAAATTTTGCCGCCCCTAAGAGTGCCGCCCGGGGCGGGCCTCCTCTGCCGCCTCCACTACGCTACGCCACTGCAAGGTGCTAAAAAACGATGGCTCCATCTAGCCTTGCTAGATGGCTCTTTAAAAAGATGGCCACTTTGGAGTAGTTGTTCCATAGTATATCACCAAATTAATTTGTTTTTCCGATTGTGAGCAACTTTCGAATGTTAAAAATTCAATCAATGATTGCTAATTTGTACGGAATAAAAATGACGAGTTAATGTTAAATATATAAACTCGACTCTTATGTAAAGACGCAACGAACTAAGAGTTCATATACAAATACAGATATTAGACACTTCAATGGTGCTAAGCAATCATTTATATTTTTCACTTTCCGAGGAATGCCGCTGTAAGAGACCTTATTTATCAGTCAACCATCGTAATTAAAACATATTATTAAACAATAATTTATTAGTCGAACTTACCAGAAGATAAAACAATTATTTATACCCATATTTTCTCCATCTTCGATGGTCTGTGGAAGATGCACATTTAACGTTTCGGGCAAAATTAAACAAATTAATGCTCCCAGTATACTGAAAATTCCAATTAAAGTAAGTGGCAAAGTCGTTCGGTATGTGGACTAAAGGAAAATTGAATCTTGTAATAGAAATGAAAAATTTCCTAGAAGTATATTTATGTGCGTCAATATTTACTCACCAGAAGTAATATATATGGAGCAAAAACTGTGGCAAGTATACCCACTGACTGAAGTAGAGCCAATGCTGAATTTCGTAAAGATGTGGGAAATAATTCACAACCGTAAACGAAAACCAAACTAAATGCACCCGATATAGCAGCTTTGCTAATAATAGCTAGAATAACACCGGTCCAAACGTAATCTGAGGAGAAAAATTTAGTATATGAAAACAAAATTCACATTTATCCATATGTTTACCTGCATTTTGGAAATTATAAAATTTACATATTGAACACAGTAATATTTAAATTGCAAAATTGAGATTAAATATGTGATTAAGTATAAATTGTTGATTTAGACGTGTAATTCTAATATTTAATTTGAGAAAGACATGCAATTGCAATTAATACGAACTGAAATTTGTATTCAGTTCGTATACAAATACGAACTGAATTTTCGTATTTGTATACGAATTTTCGTATACAAAATTTTCGTATACAAATATACCGTACAGCACGTAAAAAGCATTTTACTGTAATAAATCATTAGTATGATAAATGTTCTAGTTGAATTTATAATTTAAACATTTGATATAAATTATCGTGTTTTACGGCATATAAGACGCACCCCTACAGCACGGCACAGAATATTTAGGAAAAGTATTTAGTGTATTTAATCCATCCCTCGCCTTTGGCAATCGGTTCCCAAATATTTTTTACTCTATCTGGCCCGTAGTCTCGAGTTTTTCGTGTTACAACACCGACCGTGTTGAAGGTGTCACGTGGTATCATCTCACACTCTGACGTCAAATTGGTTGTCTCGAGTTATAACTCACGAGCTTTCCCATATGACCATGTGAGTTCCTACTCACTTTGAGTCGAGCATGTGAGATGTCTACACGAAAGTGAAAATGGCTGACGGATATGCTATTCTGATAGCAATCGAAGCATTAGAAAGAGCCGAAAGAGTTAAGAAGACAACGAATTTTTCGACCACGAGTAGATGCCAATTCTTTTTATGTCAAGTCAACACAAAAAATTTTAACCACTTGCCGTACGAATGTTTTTAAAAGAATTTTTAATTAAACATAAAAAATACTTAAAACTGAAAAAAAACGAAAGAAATGCGTTAATTTTGAAGAAAAAGCTTCAAAGTTTAACTTCCTTTGTCTCGCCTTTCTGCGAAATTTGACACCAATGAGTCATTGTTTACACAGCTGGATGACCTTGAGAACATCTGGTGTGGGATTTCCCGGGATATTCTCATAGACGTCTCGGGAGAAGAAGGGTTTAAAGTAGGTGAATACTAGCTGGCGGTATATTTTTAAATATTTTTAAAAAATTAAAATTTTAATTGCGATTTCCGACCCCCGATTTAATTAAACTTATATATAATAAAATATATTAATTAAAAAAATTAAAAAACAATTGGAGGTCGTTTTTGACATCAGAAAGTAGCTTTAAATAACTTTACCGAAGTCAAATCCGTGCACTACAACTTTAGAACGATTAATTAATTTTGATAAAAAAATCGCATTAAAAAACAATTAAGCGTTAATTGCGCGTCATTAAAGGTTGATTAAAATCGCGATAAAATTTTTTTGCGATGGTAAAAATTTTTGAAAAAATTTGAAGGCAAAAAACATTCCAAAAATAAAAAAAAATTTGGGCCGAAAGGACCGCGTGTTCTGTAACGCTATGTAACTTGCCCGAGTTAACTCGGGTCCGGACGTTTTAATTGATAAAATTATACAACAAATTTTTCCAAAAATAAAAAGAAGTATCTAATTCAGGGGTGTCCAACCCTCGGCCCAACGCAAGTTTCAATGCGGTCCAATAAATATGTAAACAAAACCAAAAAATTTTATTTATTTATTTATTTTTATTTATTTCAACGGCATAAACTCAAAAAAGAAGTTTCACAAAGTTTATACATATTCTATTTTTCAGTGGAAAGAAAATATTTTCAAATACTTGGAAATGTGTGAATAAGGAAGAAATACTAAATAAAGTTGGAGTTGTGACTCAAAGATTATAGTCCCAAATTCGGGGAAAGAAGAGAAAATCGGAAAGATGAGAAGTAGTGAGAAAGGTTAAATAAACCTTCTGTTATGCAAATATTGACCCTTAATTTTCCAACCTTCCTCACTTATTTATCTTTTGTCCTTCCTCTCCTTTCCTCGCATTTGAGTCTATAATCCTTAAGTCCCAACTCCAGCATTATTTAGTATTCCTTCCAACGTTGCAACATTTGGCTATATTGCGCCAAATGTGGCTACGTTTTCTTTTGTTTGACAGAAAAACTATCATTTGGCGCTTTTGCTACTTTTTGGGCTACGTATTATTATATTATTCATAAATACAGTGTTTTTTTTAAACTGATGGTACTCAGAGACATCTGTAGAGCAATCTAACGGCCGGAATGTTGCCAAATTTGAGAGAATGACTAAGGACAACATGGGAAAGAGATTCCTGAAAGAAAAAAGTAGTACCTAAATTCGCCGGTAGGGGTGGATTTAGCGCTGTTGTAGCGAAACAGCTAAGAATTTGCTTAACGCGCTGGTAACACCTCAAAATCCAAATTCACAATGACGTGGTCGTTTGAGCTTAAAAGACAAGGACAAAAGTCCGAAGTGCATTCCAGACTTCAGCAGAGTTCAACGTGCATCTTTCGTTACCTCAGCGTCCGTTGCTTGTGAAACATTATTATCTTAACCAATGGAGCGCACCGGGCGCTCTTCGTGAGTTTAGAACCCGTAACAACCGGCACAGAGGTTCTCTATCAATTAATGCAGAGAAAGTCTTGATAAAGAAATTTGAAGAGACAGGATCCTTAGCAGTTCGGCCTGGTAGAGGGCAAAAACCCGTGTCTGCACAGACAGTGATGTTGCGATTGCACTCGTTGAAGGTTCTAACCCCCGGATCTAACCCCATGTGACTTTTTCCTATGGGGTTACTTAAAGTCTAAGGTCTGTCTTGATGGTGTCCCCAACCTGATGACCTTGAAGAACAACATTTTTTGAACTGTGATGAACATTCCTGCAGATATGTTACGTTCGGATGTAGAGAACACGGTGTTCAGGATGCAATGTGTGTCCAGCAGGACGGTGGTCACATTGAAGGAGGAAGGTTATTTGCTGATTAATTAAACTTTCATTATTGCACTGAAACCTCTGTCCGATTATTCATTCGCGTGTTTGTTAATTGCAGCTGTGTTTTATGCAAATTCTTAGCTGTTTCGCTACAACAGCGCCAAATCCAACCCTACCGGCGAATTTAGGTACTATTTTTTCCCTTCGCAGAATCCCTTTCTTACGTCTTCTTTAGTCACTATCCCAGATATGGCGACCGTCCAGCTGTTAGATTGCTCTACAGATGTCTCTGAGTACCGTCAGTTTAAAAAACTAAAAAAACTGTACTTTAAAATGGTGTAAAATGAGGGTTTTTATAAATTAGTGACCCAAATAAAACAAATATTTGCGTTTTTCAAATAAATTTTCGTTTGTCTCTTTTTTAATAAATGAATTTATCTATTTATAAGTAAAAATTGAAAATGTCTGTATAAGTAATTTTTAAAATATTATTTTTCATGATAAAGCTTTAATACTTATTATTATAATCCAAACATGTTAATCCTGAAATATACTTGTATATTGGCCACAAGTATATATAATATATATAAATACTTGTGGCCCAAAACTCCAAGACTTCTTCCAATGTGGCCCAGAGAAACAAAAAGGTTGGACACCCCTGATCTAATTCATCGAAAAAGAGAATTAAAATAATAGTAAATTAAATGTATAAATTATAAGAGCGTAGGCACTATATTAAGATTATTTATTAATCAGAACTTAACACTTCTGATTAATAAATAATCTTAATAGATAAAACAATTTAAGAAATAGATCAAGGAAGAAAACTGCACGAAAAAAGGATTAAATTAAAATACTTTTTCCATTACACAACGGATTAAATTTTAAGCTCCAGCACACGCAATTAATTTTTCAACTAACTCTCTCCACAAATCAAATTGTCTTTTTTTTTGTAAATTCGTTGTCGAATTTTTTACTGTTTATTTTCTTATTATTTTCTATATATATTTACTAATATATCCTTTTGTTCTTCGCTTAATTTTAAAATAAACCATTGGAGGTTTCCATTATGTTTCTGCTTACTATATTGTTATAAGACAAAACCCTTTAACTGTAACACGTGTAAACTAATTCACGTTGATTTGTTTACAACTTGTTACGGTTAAGTTGATTGGTCGAATCATTATAGTCGCAAACCCAGATGCATTGTAAATAATCCCATCGTGCTTAACGACGCACGTAATCAAGTGAGTATAACGTTTTTCCGCTCGTCTTTCGAGTTCGTTCGATGGGTTTAACTCGAGACTACCAATTATGCGAGTCATATAGTAACACGAGTGAGTTCGATGACGTCAATTCGTGTAACACGAAAAACTCGAGACTAAATTAAAATTTGCACTATTACATATTAAAGAAAAAGACAAGTTTAGAAGAAATCACTAACAATTCATATTTAACATTAACATATGTGAAAGTTACATAGCTATAGTAATAAATAAACTTACAAATAAAATACCTAGTACATGAGTATCGGTACATATAATTTGGAGAAATTCATTATGCTATGAGCCTATGTCGTAAAATACGGTAAATAAAAATTACCTGGTGGGAAGAACATTACAGCCAAACACCCCAATCCGGCAATTCCCATGGACAAGAAGAGACTTAATCTTCTACCAATCTTATCCATGGCTACCATGACGATTAGAATTCCTGGTATTTCCGAAAAGGAGTTAATGGCATTTGCAAGATAATCGTTGATTTTCATGTTCATCGCGTTGTATACCAAGACAGCATACACCAAAGTTATTATTGCCCAATCGAAGCACAGAATAAATTGTCGACATCTCATATTTGGATATTTTAACAGTTCTAAATACGACGATGAACTGGACGTTTGGCTTTCGTAGCCTTCTTTCTGGATTTAAACATTTAATTAATCACGTAACGAGATTATAGTTTATGTTAAATAATGAAATGTTACCTTTTTTTGTTGGAGGAATTTCTTTAGAAAATCCTTCTCGATGGTTTTCTTATTAACTTTAGCGATTTTCTGAACGATTTTTTCGGCTTCGTCGATGCGATTTTGGCTTATGAGCCATCTCGGTGATTCCGGAACAAACCTGCGAATATCGAAATTATAAATCATTTCAACATATAAATATTACATTACATCACTTTAAAATTCAGTCCATTCTGATTCGTAGGCGTTGCAGAAATAAGTTAGGTTAATTTAAAATTTTAGAAGCACTAATTAATTACGCTACATAGTCTTTTAAATATTATTTTATTAATATTAGTCAATTGTGAGTATAATCTATTTTAGTTAAACAAGGACGTTTTCTTTTTACGAAGTATCGTCTTCATTTTAGTTTTTTGTCCATCTTGGTCAAAAATATCAGCAACGTCTTTACGTTTTTATAATTTTATCATAGTTGTGTATGGATATTAATATATTATTAATTGAATATTTCTTCGAGAGGATCGCCTTTGTTCAGTCGAGTTTCGAGCGTTTTTTTTTTTGCAGAACTTGTGCTCGAATATCGAATCGTTCCAGTACCGAGTTACCTTTGTATGTCGTTTGTCATTTCACGGTGCCTGCGATTTTAAAAAAGTTTAATAACACTTACCTAAAAATACTTAAATAAACTTTACTAAATATGAAGATTGATGTATAAAAACAAAACAAAGTGAGTCTTAAAAGCTAAAGTCTGAAAACAACGACGACACCCGCTTGATAGAAATGCTAGGACAAGGAACAAACACATTCTACTATCGGTTTTCATTAAATGAAACCTGACGAAAAACACAAAAAACAAATTGAAAGTTTCAGTTCGTGGGCAAATTTCGAAGGGCGCGTTTTTACTTGAATAAAAAAAAAGTACCAAATAACAGAGTTTACACTTATTACTATTTTGTACAAAGGATTTCCCAAACCGCGTTAGAGTGAAACCAGAAGTAATGGTATACGGAGGATATCCTCAATTTTCCAACCGTGTTATATAAGTATCGTGTTATACGAGGGTTATCTGTATTATATATTTTTAAATATGAAAATCATCGTAATAGAGTAATTTTGATAAATATTATTTAAAATTATAAAAACGTCTTTTACGTATACAGTACATTGCTTTCATTGCCCAAAGTTTACTTAGAAAAGTGTAAAATACTTACCACCAATACGCCAAAAGTGGTATAAATGGAATACTATACATAAGTGTTATATAAAACCAATCTCTTAATAAATATGCTATTGCAGTGTATATAATTAGAGCCCCAGCATAAACAATTCCACAGATCATTCCTGTAATACATCGTTTATTGGGTGTCGTTAATTCTGTAACTATAAAAATGTGTAATGTATACCAATAATCTTATAACTAATTTGATTTAGCATAATAAAAATCTTTTAAAAACTTTACACAAAATAAACGGAGTAAGATAACACGAAGAACAAGTAAAACCTAAGATTCCTCTATATATAATGTACGCCGTATAGTTTGGCGGATAACAAGACACCAACCCGATCAAAATAGTGGAGACGAGCATGATGAATAGACATGGTTTCCTACCCCACCTGCAAAATTATTAAAGAAAATTAATGTTAGATTGTATCAGATAAAGGATTCAAAAAACTGCGTTGTTTTTCATACTTATCGCTGATAAACCCGATCCAAAATTCACTAATGACACATCCAATAGATAGCATAGAATTAGCAAGGGCTGTTTTCCATTTTTGACCACAAACGATGTTCCACTGAAAATACAAAATAATATGATAATTTTTACAATAAAAATGTAGTTTAATTGAAAAATGATTCAGTAATAATATTAAATACTACAGTATAAAATAAAAATATATATACAGTATGTCCAATAATTAACTGATTACCTTTAATACCTCGGTTACTCTCTACATAGAGTTCGTTGAGGTCTTGTTTTAAAGCTTTTCAGATAAGCTATCTTCTAGTCCATTGAAAACACTAAGGTTTTTTTGTATGTTTAATAAAAAATAAATAAGTATTTTAGTACGTACACGGTGGAGATATGCGTGTACTTTACTCCTACTGAAATATATGCATATATGTATGAAAAACATGAAATTATTTCGCAATACTTTAAAATAGCAAAGAAATTTTCGTTTTTAATATCATATACACTGTAAACAGAACTGAATAGAGGTATAATACCCGAAATTCATATTCTGCTTGATTAAAGCTTATATTTACATCATTTCGCCGTTTTTTATTTTAGTTTTTTTTATCTTTTATTTTTTCGTATGATAAGTTCGTTATAGCAATTTTATGCTCACATAGAAGACATTAATACAGTCAGACATGAATCTTTTAAATCAGTAAGTGATTTTTAACATAAATATAATAAACCTGTTATTAACGTAATACATATGCAGTTTGTTAAGTAAACAACTCGCTATCAATTCAACAGTATTTAATAATTTAACGTAACAATAATAACCACAAGTTTAAAGCTTTTGCGGGCATATGAAATTAGTTTATTAAGTTATCAACGCAGAAGTATAAAGTTTATGGTAATAAATATACTGAGATAAAAACGAAAATGCAGATAAAGTATAAAACTTAATGTATTAAATGAAGCAGTATTTGTGGATGTAGTCTGTTGAATGTAGTTTTACTACTTAAACTAAAACTCAGGAACGCGACTAAAACATGACTACAAGTAAGCAATAAATAATAATAAATGATTTGAAAATTGTAAGATAATCNAATTTTTACTTTTAAGGAAATAGGAGAGAAAAAAAATAGCGTTTATCGGTTATTTTGCAGCGAGCACTTTTAAACCTGGCTGGTGGTATACCTGGCAGGTTTACCGGTACGTGTGTACAGTACTCTGTTTTAGAGGCAGGGTTCATCCCGAATAGCGAGAGGCACCTCCAAGCTTTTTCTCCTGAAACTATTAAGAATCAAGCGTCATAGCTTTAAACTCTGAGCATCTCTGTTTAATCTCGATTTATTACGTTATCAGACATTAAAATTTCAAGATTTAAAACATTAAAAAAATTATTTGAATTTTAAAATTTGATGTCAAAAAATTAATAATAAAGTTTAAAACTTTGAAAGCATCTTTCATTGAACAGAAAGTAGAAAATATGTTATTCAAATATAAACCTACCTGATGACGTGGTCGTCCAACTATTGAAGGAAAAACAGCTCGGGGAGCATCATCACCCGCGAATCCAGCTTTACATATTCCGGAACCATTGTCTACGACAAGAGCTACAACTTCCTCTTCACACATAATTTACTCGAATAGATACTTAGAGTATTTATTATTCAGTATCGTTCAACTCTATGAAATAAACAATCGTAAATATATTTCAGAAAACACGAATAAATTAAAAATCCATCAATATAAAAACGAATACAATATTAACGTTAGAATTCATAAACCTTGTACTGTACCATAAAAAACTTAAGATGGCAGCCTGCCGCTCGGGGGGATCCGGAATCGAATCCGGACGGGTTAATTTAAAAATAGTGTTTATGATGTTGATGTAATTTTTATAAATTAGCATTTTAAACTTCTAATATAACATTTCTATAAAATGTACTTTTTTGTAGCCTACTGACATTAATTGGCTTATTTTTCTAAAATGTTTCTACGAGTTTAAAAAATTCAGTCACGAGTTGCATAAGTTTCCCGAGATTTTATTTTAAAAATAGTTTTTATATTATTAATCACAACAAATATATTTGTGTATGGCGCCATCTGTTATGAGATTTACTTATTTGACGACGACACACGATTCCTTCCATCTGGCCCTTTAATCATCAAACTTTCATTACATCAATGCTCTTAGATGCTATACACAAGCTACCATGAAAAATTTCTTTGTTACTCTTTACCGCATCCTGACATATTAAACGAAATAAACGCCAACAGGCAGAGATACGCGGAATTTTTCCCTTTCTTTGACATTTTTAAGTTTAAGAAGTCTCAAAACGTGGAGATTTGCAAAAATCTGCAAAGTCAAATTTGACAGAATTCCAATACTCGCCATTGCTATACGTACATAACGGCCGGGAAAGTCAAATTAGTAGAAAATTAAGAAATGTAAAGTTTTGAACAGTATTTTAATAGAAGAATTAAACAGGATTCTAAAGCAAGAAATTGTTTGATTCTATCTACTTCCGTCTCCGAGAATATTTGGAAAAGGATTTCCCCATATAAAAGCATTAAATTGTATCTCCATCTTCTGGAAATTGCGTGCATAACCAAACAACCATGTTACGTTTTAAACATTTTTTTAGAATGTAAATCAATTAGAATGTAAACGTTTTTTAGAATGTAAATCAATTAGAATGTAAACATTTTTTTAGAATGTAAATCAATTAGAATGTAAACATTTTAGAATGTAAACATTTTAGAATGTAGAGATCATTTATAAAGAACCCTTCCCCTCTCATTTGGAAAAATTTAGCCATTAGAAGACATTAATTAAAGAAACATAAAATTCATTTTAGTTAGCCTATTATAATAAATCGATCTGTCGTAATTCCATCCGAATTTGCAGTCAGTCACGAGCCATCTGTTTTGGATCAAAATGATGTCAATAATGTTTCTTGTTGTTCCATCACTTGATCTCCATGTCTATTTGCTACAGTTCTTTTGTTGGAATTTGGTGTTACAGATCATTAATTAATTAAATTATGATCGAGGGGAAATTCAAGCAGTCTTTTCCCTCGTTTATTCCGTGCTCCAACATATCCATACTTGTCAATCCAAATCTGCCGGAATATCTTTGTTATGTCTGTAATTATTGCTACATCGTGCAATCTAAACCGAAGAAGTACTTCTCAGATGTCTTGTTGAGTTTTTGGCCCAATTAATAGACAGTCATTCAGTGTTGATGTTGATGTTTTACTAAATGCGTCAAATACCACCCTCAGGGATGTCGTAGTACTGTCTGGTTTAATTATTGAGTTATTTATCTCATCATGCAGGAATTCACCATAGTGGAGATCCCTTTTGGTCAATACTTGCCACTAATTCCATATGACCTAAAGCATAGTATTCCCACAGAAATGCCTGATATTTACTTTTTATCCCTGGCTGTTGGTCTAATCTTCTATTCAAATGCTTGAGCCTAATAAGCGCAATGTCATATCATTTTTCTAAATCAGATTTGTTTTCACGGAATGGAAGCCTCACATAGTAACGTCCGTCTGGTCCTCTGCTGTAGTTAGAGATAAATTGTCTCTCACATGCTTACTCCTCGGATGTCATTTTCTCAGAAAACTGAACTATCTCCTCAAGTTTCCCAAAACGCTGTAATTGCTGTTGTATCTCAAAGTTTGCCTGATTTACACATATAGTCATGGATGCAGGATGTTTGCTAGAAAGTCTGCCAGAAAGCACCCACCAAATTTGGTATTAAAGGCCGTTGGTCGTCTGTGAGTATCGGGAATTTTACCATCTTTCAGGATGTTTGCGAAGTATTCGGGCTCCAAGATTACCTGCCAAGTTTGTCCTCTGACCAAGGTAAGGTATTTTGCTTGGGTACACCCGGTTACTTCCAGACATATCTGAAGCTTGTAACTGGATAACTTGCTCATTATGAAAACTCAGACAACGCATTCAAAATTATGACTGCGGGTTCTAGTCTTAAAATTAAGCTTTACAATTCCTCTAGTTGTGCTTGATGTAGACCGGCCAATTCCTTAGTACGTCTAAGACTGTCTTGCAAGACAGCTTTCTGAAATAAATTTCGCCTGCGAACTAGAGTCCAACAAGACACATCAATATTGTCATTCATTAACATTATCACATAACCGCACATTTCACGTAACCGCAGAGCCAGTTGTAAAACATTTCACGTAACCGCAAGCAGAAGCTTGATTACACAAGCTTCTGCTTGCGGTTACGTGAAATGTTTTACAACTGGCTCTGGGTCGAACAAACCATCGCACCAGATTTTTTCTCGTTACGATGAAGTACAGTAGATCCCCCTATAAAACCGTTTCCTATAGTTGTGATTCCTATAAAAATTGTGGCAGTATCCGTAAACAACGGTAAAAATAACTCCTATAATACGTAAAACGTCATCGGGCAGCCGAACTACTTTCCCGCCGTCTGTAGCGCCATGCTACGGACGTTTAGGCGGATAAATCGAGTTTAGTATCGTCTGTTCATATAATTATATATAAATTAGGTACTGTACATATAATTATATATTAATTATATATAAATTAGGTACTGTATATATAATTATATATTAACTTAATTTATTGTAACTTTATTATAATTAAATATATATTTTTCGCCGTCTAGCGTCACGCTACGGCGAGTTAGGCGACCTATCGTCTGTCCAGTACTGTAATTTTATACATTTCTTGTGAAAGAAACATTTCTTATTTAACGGCCATAAAAATTATTTATATTAAGGATGTCTCCAAAGGTCAACGAAGTTTTCGCAGAAAAATAATATCAGAAATCGCGGCCGCGGTTTGATGCGCTGTTCCGCGACGAAACCAAGCTTTAGCAACGGGCGTAGTCGAACGGTACACACTCGGTAAGCAATCCTACAATTTTTTGTTTATAACGTAGTTTATACGGATTATTTTCAAAAAAATATACGTATTTTGGAAATGTTGAGTCGAATTAGTCTAGAATCGATTAATTTTATGAAAGAAAACCTTTCAAACAGCCGTAGTCCGTAAACTATGATTCCTACAAAATTGATTCATAAAGAACGGAACGTATCTACCGTCTTATAGGGGGATCTACTGTAATGAATGTTGCCTGACACTGCACCGATAACAGCTTGTAGCCAACGGACTTTGCCTAATTGTATCTTTTACTCAAACAGTTAAAACATAAGGCATTCTTACATTCTTTCTCACTATGTTATTTTGTTGTTCTGGTCGATACACTTATACAGTGGACGTAACCCTTTACAAGTAACACAAATTTTATTGTTTGCCGTTGGTGCGAGGTTTAGAGCCGCAGTCGCTTCTCGTGCGTTACTTCATCTATTTGTTGTGCCTGTTGAAGCAGTTGCAACTTTGACTCTAACAATTGTCTTGCTAGCTTCTAGTGCATGACATCTCTGCTCAATGTATTTCTTGAGACTTCTAAGCAGTATTGTAGCGTAGGGGGGCGGCAGGGGCGGCCCGCCTCGGGCGGCACTTTTTAGAGGGCGGCAAAATTACGTTTTAGGGATCGGCAAAATTTCGCAATAAATAATAATAATATCTTGTAAGAATTTGAACCATTTTATTTCATATTTTCGTCCATCTACGATTCGGACCGATTGAAATGAGCACGGAATAGTGTTACCATCCGACTCGCCGTCGATGTCGTGCGCGACCTGTCGACTTTTTTTTTCTGCTTGTACGGATCATTCGTATTCATATACACCTCCAATATCTAATAGGGCTGTCATCTAGATTACTTACGTTACTCCTACGCAAGTTTCCCTTGTCGCTAACTGTAACTGATTACTGAACCAGCATGCACTGCAAATTATTCTTCATTGCAAAATGATATACGCATGCATCAGGAACTTCTGTTCGAACAAACCTCACCTGCCGTCAGGGTCAGCGATTTTAAAAAGGTGGCAACACTAGCACGGAATTTTTCATTACTTATTATGTGACGAAACTGAATTTTAATCTTTTAAATTGAGATACCTAAATAAGGGGGCGGCGAAATTTTTCTCCGCCCCGGGCGGCTGACACCCACGCTACGCCACTGCTTCTAAGCACTGGATATTCCTTATCTTTGTTGGATAATTCCTACTCACGTCGAGTATCTGCATCCAATCTTTCAATAAACAGATAGATTAAAACTAGATCCATTCCACTTCCACTTCAAGTGCCATAGCGCTCTGATATGTTTTACGGTAGTAACTACCAATCTACGCAGGCCTACAACGGATTCACTCCTCAAGGCTGGCTGTTCGAAGAGTGTTTTTAAGTGACACGGGACCAATTGTCGGCGATTCTGATTCCTATAGTTCAGCAGATTCCAGGACTAGTTATAGTTGGCATCAGTCACTTCCAGCTAATGGAAAAGACCGCTGCCTCTCCCGAAAGTGACGTTTTTGAATAGTGAAGCTTCTGTGCTGCACTTATAGCCGCCTTGTTATGTATCATAATTGTGAACATATCACGAAAGGCATAGCACTAAGTTATTTCCCGAAAAAGTAGGCAACTTGTATTCTAGACAGTTTGACCTCTGAACTGATCAGCTCTCTTTGTCTCTTGTCTTCTTCCACTTCACTAAAATGATTTGTCTCTTTTTCTTCCACTTCACTAAAATGAAGCTCGTAGCTTTCCTCCTCGTCATTTTGACAAACCTCTAAGAGCTGATTATGAAGCTCCAAAGCTTCATAATGCTTAGTCAGCTCTTAGAGGAGTATGAAAATACTCCTTTCAAGCGGAGTGTAGGTCGAAATCTTGAAAGTCGTTATTAACGAGTGTACTAATTCCCGAAATTCTGGTATTCATCGAGACTTGTTGTCTCTTAAAAATATCCGTCTTATCCATGTTGACTGTATTTCAGTCGCGAGACTAGACCTAACTCTGAATCAATACTGTTGCCAATACCAATAGATTACAAATAGATGTGGCCTTCCAAATCCACCTTTGACGGACAAAAATGTACATACGTAACAGACGAACGAGACATGAAACACTTTAAATTAACAGTAACAACTTTAATTAAGCACTGATACAAATTTTGGCGTGCTCACAACCAGGCCCGCCGTAAGCGGGCGTGCAAGGCGGGCACCGCACGCGGGCGGCACGTCCAGGGGGGCGGCAAATCGAGCGATCGGTCACGAATTATTCAAAGTCATTGTCATAATACCCACCCTACTTATAGCATAAGAAATGTCTTCGCATGGAGAAAAAAATTTGACCGGTGCGCAATTACTATATTCTTATTTATATTATAGCTTAACAGCGTTTCTATTGGCATTTATCAGAATTAAGATGCAATGCGAAACGTCTGTCGGCAGGTTGAACTATCCGGCGGTGCCTGAAAGGCCAAGTACCCATAGTCGTGCTCTATGACAGAAGTTGACAGGACTGGCGAAAATAGGGAATCCCCACAGAGCTTCCTTCTCAATTTGTACTTGTACTCATTCGAACAGTTCTATCGCATATCAAATTGCAATTATTTTGTTAATAATTCTTCTGACATGGGTCTAAGTATAATTAATGATATTTTAATTTGGTTAGAATTTAAATCTGAAACTTAAAGACGATTCAAGTAGTGAAACAGACATTAACGGTATTGATTTGTTTAATGAAATCAATACTTTAAAGTTGCATTTTCTAGAAAACCAATCTAATGATCCACAAACCCTATTACAATACCTTTTTACTGATGACTTAATTTTAACATTTCCGAACACAGCAATAGCACTAAGAATATTACTTACATTACCGGTTTCAGTTGCATTTGGTGAAAGGTCCTTTTCAAAGTTAAAAATTATAGAAAAAAAACTATTTAAGATCAACAATGCACCAGCAAAGACTAAGTAATTTAGCTATAGTTTTAATTGAGCACGAAATCTTAGACAGCTTGGATACAAAAAAAAATTGATAGCAGGTATCGCAAACATAAAGGCAAGAAGAGTTCAATTTCTGTAGATAAATATTTATAATGTTTTACACTTAAGTAAACAAAAATAACTTAGTAATAATAAATAGTTTTTCTCTGTAAAGTATTTCTTTTCTTTTTTCACACCCTTATGAGACAACACTAAAGAGCCTTTCTAGCAACCTCGGCGTAGGTAGTCGTAGTTAAGCAGGGGGCGGCATAATCGGTATTGCACATGGGCGTTAAAACAGCTAGCGGCGCCCCTGCTCACAACTACTTGCAGTTTTGTAATGTTGTTAGGTACAGTACACACACACACACAAAAATACATTTTACAAGTACTGCTAGATACAATTAAACATTAAAGAAACATAAAACTCACCTTAGTTATTAGCGTATTATAATAAATCGATCTGTCGTAATTCCATCCGAATTTGCAATCAGTAACGGGCCAACTTTTATTGGAAGACGACACGTTGTTAATCAGGTAATCCAAAGCCACGTTGGTGTAGTTAACGTCGTACATTTTACACTGACTCGGTTGCCATTCTCCTTCTCTCTCCTCCCAAGGGATACTCAGATTCTTGACCTCATCCAAAGCAATTCCATAATTTTCCAGTTCTGGTATTTTGCACCAATGTTCGGGAGTGGCGAATACAAAAACATAGCTGAGAATGATAAATGCGAAAGGAAAATTTGTAGGTATTAATAAAGCGCAGTATAAAATAATCTGGTATCGTCCGAAGCCTCCCAAAATGGGTAAAACGTCGTCGAAGTTCATCTTCTAACAGTCTTGCACGCTATCGATGAATCTAAATATGTACAGTACAGTATTAATGAACAACTACGTGCATTAGAACCTGTTTGCAATCGTGCTGCGCATTAAAATTAAAAGTACTTGTACAATGATGAGGTTTGAAAATTTGTGTGTAGCGTAAAAGTAATTCGGAAAATGTTCTTGAAAACGTCCTTCGCGATGTCTAAGTTATTCGAACGTATTTCCGATTACAGGCTATTTCCGAAATAGCGGGACAAATTTCGGGAAATGAGTCTTCGTAGAATATAGAAAAAATACAGCAACCAGTTGCTTAGCTTTTCAGGCAACATTTACAACTGCGTGTAGCGCCATATGTTATATTTTATTGTAAAAAATTTTATACTTTTAATTATTATAAAGTAGAAAAAAGCTTAATTTTGAGGATAGAGATGAGTTTTATTAAAAGAGGAAAAATTGTAAATGCTAATAACGAGTAAAATCCTTATTATTTCCGACTGTACTAGAGATACGACACGCGATCTCCTCTATCTCCCCGCCTTATCGAGCTTTAACCACCAAAATTTAATAGCATTAATCCCACTAATACACAAATTTTTCTACATAATTTCAGAAATTTTCGACAAAAAGCCCGAGAGTTACTAAGCTTCAAAGAGGGTGAACAAAATTCTGCCCCCTTACACACTAACATCTATACATATATAAAAACTTTGAGTTTTTGCATTTTGCGATGTTTCAAGGTCTCCTAGAGTCCATAAATGTAAAAGTCATGGAAAGAGGCTCAATTTTTGACCGATTGCCATATTTTCCCTCTTATATGTAACAATCAGTAATGTAAAAATATATATAATTATATATCGTGACTCGGACGCTTTTTGAGGAAACAAATCTCTTATTACAGTGTCAGGTGCTAGACAAATTCTGTCATTAATAGAGAGTTAATAAGAAAGTTAATAAGAGAGTTAATAAATAAGAGAGTTAATAAAAAATTCTTTTTTATTAACTCTCTGAATAACCCGTAAAATATTTATTATTCGAATTTAATATCCTTTTATTCTGCAAAGCGGTTTTGTCCTCGAGCATCAGTATATTGAAATTTTAAACTAATATAATATCATAAAAAAAAATTATTTTCATTCGTATACATTTCATAATCGGCCGTTTTACAATTAGGCCTACTTGTATGCATTATATTTACAGTGAAAAATAATAGTTGTGTGATGAATGTGTCTTCTAACGTTTTCTCAAAAACTTACATCTTTTATTTTGTATAATAACAGACGTGTTATCAATTGCAAACAGAGGTCTTTCGTAATTTCACTCTTCGATGAATGATGATAAATGTACTTCTACAGTGCCGTAAATGAATGAAACTTATCACGATCTATTATCATTTATTACATTATTTTTTCGCTGTTAAGTGTCTCAGACTGTACGCAGATCGAGTGCTCTTCGCCTCGTTGACTTTGATGATTAAACAAGTATTTATGAATAATTTCCACAAGCTTAATTTACATATTCTTAAGCCTAATTTACATATTTATAATTTAATTATTTACATATTCTATTGCAATATCGCTAAGAATAAACTTAAATTTATCTTTCGTGTATCAGCTTAGTGTTTGGATAAAATAACAATAAGAAATATTTTATATTAAACATTATAATGACAGTTTTCTTGAGAGAGTTGACATGATTTAATTTTATTAACATGAAGTAATATTAATGTTTATTTTAAAAAAATTAAATATAAATTACTAAATTAAAACGATGAAATGTGTGTCCAGACAATGCCGCAGCTTCTAAATACTTAATGGGCATTGACGTGATAGGACTTTTCCTGCTTTGAGTGGCTTCAGTGTAATGTTCGTAGATATTTTACTAAATATCACATCTTGAAAAAGCTGTGTACGTTCTCATTATCTAAAAACACATACTTTATTGATCCAGTAAAGGATAATGGAATGTTTTGCTACCAATTCATTAATAGTAATCATATTAATGATGGCAGAGATACAATTTACGAAAATGTTTAAAATACAGTCAGTGATACTTTTATCTTAATGTGAAAACATCTCAAGATTTTTACGTTTCAACAAATTATAATCAGATGGTTAAGACAGTCTATCTGAATTTCCATTAAAATAATTACGGATTGAATTGAAACTATCCATTAATTAAGTAAATTTTCTTTCATGTCCATTTCACGCTAAATTTTGAAAAATTTTTGGCTAAATTTTCATATTTATATATTAAATTTTGCTAATTTTTCGGAAACGAAAATTTCTCCAAAATTCGCCCAGAATTACTCTAGGAGTAAAAAAATTGTGTATGTTTATGGTTGTCATTTTTTGCTAAAAATTTAGAAATTTAGGCATCTATGTGCTCATCCAAAAATCCTGATAAGACTCATGCCCTTCAAGCCTGCCTACTTTTCGCGAGGTTACGATTTTGCAGAGCCAATCCAGTAATCTTATATTCGTTCAAGTCATTACATTCGTTCAAGTCGTTACATTCGTCGCGCAATGCTTATGATTTTTCAAATTTGCACAGTAATGTCAATGCTTTGGGCTAAACGTTTTCGGTAATATACGGTATAATAAAGAATACCATCAAATTGGATGCATATTTTTCAAATTACTGCGTTTTTTCTATTTGTTCCTTAATGTATGTTACTTATTGATATAAATTTATTTAACAGGATTATTAAGGTTGAATGTTCTAAATGAATATTGTTAAAACTCTCATTAATATAAATCCGAAAGATAGATATAATAAACTTAAAGTCTTCGTTTAGAAAAAAAAAATTTATTTATAAATATAAGACAATCTATTATTATATAATTATTTATAATTTTTGCAATAAAATAACAATAAAATATCTATATTCTTATAAATATGTTATTTAAATTATTAATTTGTAGTTTCATGAAAATGACTCCAAAAATCTGTTATGATTTAAATTATTTTATGAAGGTGTTAACACAGGATGACTTCATTGTCCAGTTTTCTCTCATTGTCCACGAAAATCTTCATCAAAAACCAACTCTAAATAACTCATTGCAGTACTCTTTATTGTTCTGTTATTTCCTATTTGACCTGTAAATTAATTTTAATAGGAAATTCTTTGACAGTTCTTCAGTGAAAGTCAGAAAGCTTTCAAAGTTTTGATGCACTTTAAGAAAAACTTTGAAGAAAGGACTTATGTAATACATCTTCCTCACTACAGGATACACCAGAACAATTATTCTTGGTTACAAATTCTGAAAGAGGGTGTTTTTGGCTACGTTAAACAACTGCAAATGTAATAAATCTTGAATTCTTGAAACGATCTCGAATTAAAGAACAGCATTGTCCATCGAAATTATAAATTATACCATGTGTTGCAGATGTATGAGTTATGAGCTGTACAGCTTCCATAACTCATACATCTGCTTCGTGGAGCTGCTGCGATGTCTTATTCTCACCAATACATTATCCCTAAAGTAACCTTCAGAATAAAATACCCCAAATTATCACAGTGGTTACACTATAAATATATTTCAAGTAGTTCTGATCATATGTGAAATGTATACGAGGAACTCTTAACACGTTTGTAAAAGATTGCAGAAGATACAAAGAATCAGATTCACAGGTTCGGTGAACGAACTCAATTATGCAGATTCATTCTAGTTGCTTAAAGGCTGAATTTCTTATTTATAAACTAATTTTGGAACTGGTTTCTTTCAAGTCCTATCTCTTTTGTCACTTTCATAAACGTATCTAATTTTGGAAAGGTTCTTCATATAACATCGTGGTATATACATTTTAATAAGACTAGTCTCAATACTTTGTGACTTTATTGCTTAATTTTCTCGAATAAGCCTTGAGAAACAATAAAATTCTGAGAGACAATTAAGGCCAATGCAAAGAGACTTAATTGTCTCTCAATTTCCATAAGGATTTAATGGATTATGAGAGCCTAAAAAGGCTCATGTATAATCGTTTGTTTCTCTTTGTATATAAAATTCTTACGTACTAATTTCTACATTTTGTCTAGTTAAAGTTATTATCATTTTATTTGGATAATACAAATTAAATTTTCATTTTTCTTTTGACTTTTTACAATTTTCTCTGATTTAAAGCTTTTAATTATTATTTACTATTGATATTAGTCTTTAATTAATTGAATAATTAATAATAACATAATTTAAAATGTGATAATTTATTACATATCTATGAGTAGTAAAAATGAGGAAATTAGGAATATTTTTAATGATAATTTATTCTTAAAAAATTTACTTGTAATGTTTATTTCATCGTTTTGTCTAAATTATACACATCTTTTCTTCTTTTCCTGCAAAATTTAAGAAAAATGTTAGCATTGCATGTTACATTTTAAAGAAACTATATATATCATGATCTATAATAAAATTGCCGGTTGCAAGGCCATGGAGAGCGGTCACTCATCATTAAATTGTAATTTTTATGCAACAGGACCCAAAAGGGATCCAAGAGGATCCCTTCTGGGCCCTCTTTCATATAAATTACAAATTACAACCTAAAAGAATTATAATACTTATAGCTTGTAGCAAGTACTTGTAGCCAGTTACTGATTATAAGTTAACTTTATGCAAAATTGATTATGACTATCAGCTTGTAACTTGAATATAATAGAGTATTCCTATTATATTCAATACGCTATATTTGGAACCATAAGCTGAAAAATAGCAGACTTTTGGTTGGTACAATTTTCAAATCTAGTTTTCTGAAAATTTCAGTTTTACTGTTAACTGTTTATGGTTTTGTACCCATGATATAAATGCATTTTCTCACTTTATGCACTTGAAATTACTTAAATTGGTTTTCTACACTTCATAATTAAAGATTGCAACATGCATGCTCCCAAGGCTTCTCTTTCTTGTCAATTCTGGCCTGATGATGAGACAAGACCCTACATATTCGGATCAAATTACTAGTGACGGTTTAGACTCAAACCCGGATTGCTAAAACAGTAGGCATAATTGAACTATACTCCTCATTAAATTTTCACTCATTAAATTGAAATTTTATGCATCATCCTGTATCGTGAAAATTTTGATTCGTCCACATTGTTTGATAAATCTGAGTATTTAAAGTTGAACTGTTTAACATTTTTCACTTATTCTTTAGAATCAAATAATCATAAGAAAAAAAAAACAAGATTATAAATTCTACAAATTCTTCTAGATTTTTCGTATCTCGTCATCTTAATTATAACGATATAAATTGAGAACTTACCAGAACATAAAACAACTGTTTATTCCCATATTTTCTCCATCTTCGATGGTCTGCGGAAGATGCTTATTTAATGTTTCGGGCAAAATCAGTGCCGCAAATGCTCCTGCTATGCACAGAATTCCATTTAAAATAAGAGGTAAAGTTCTTTGGTACCTGGACTAAATCAAAAAAATGGATCTTTGTAAACAAAATAAAACTTTTTAAATGTGTAAATATAAGAAAATTTAATCACCAGGAGTAATACGAAGGGAGAAGAAACGTTGGCGATTCCACCCATTAAACAAGGCAAAGCCAATGCAGAATTTCGTAAAGATGTAGGAAATAATTCACATCCGTAGACAAAAACTAAACAGAATGCACCCGTTATACCAGCCTTGCCTATATTTGCTAGAACAATGGCTGTCCAGATATATTCTGTAAAAGATGATAATTACAAATTACGTTAAACATGTAATACAAATTAATAACCATTATTTTGCATTTAAATTAACAAACATTAATTAAGTTATTACGTAGTATAAGAAGAGCCAGATAATTTTCTAGATTGTGTAAAGAGACCAAAACGCACGTAATACATATCATCATGTCATAAATAACAACCTATTTATTTAATATGCTATTTGAATTTACATACTTTAAAAATTCGGTAAATTATTTGAATAGTTTAAACCATTTTTGATTGCAGTGTAGCCAAAAAGCGCTTGCCAAATGGAGAAGAAAACATATTGCACTTTGAAGACGAACAGTGATGAGTACTGTCGTGTATAACAGTACTCATATTAGTCTCAACCTGATTGTCACATAGACTGCATTAAAGTTATTTACAGTGTCTTTCATCTGTAATTTGCAATATGGCTTCTTCCCCATTTGGCAAGTGACTTTTTGGTTACAAGGCATATGGAGATATAGAGACAACCAGCTGTTAAAAACTTTCCAAAATCATTACTGTATTATTACACTGATAACACTTAGCCTACACTGTTTAATTTACGTTTAAATGTTTAAGATAAATTATATTTAAAAAATTACCTGCTGGGAAGAACATCACACCCAAGCACCCCAATCCGGCAATTCCCATGGACAAGAAGAGACTTAATCTTCTACCAATCTTATCCATGGCTACCATGACGATCAGAGCTCCTGGTATTTCCGAAAAGGAGTTAATGGCATTTGCAAGATAATCGTCGATCTTCATGTTCATCGCGTTGTATACCAAGACAGCATACACCAAAGATATTATTGCCCAATCGAAGCACAGAATAAACTGTCGACATCTCATATTTGGGTATTTTAACAGTTCTAAATACGACGATGAACTCAACGTTTGGCTTTCGTAGCCTTCTTTCTGGATTTAAACATTTAATTAATCACTTAAAGAGATTATAGTTTATGTTAAGTAATGAAATGTTACCTTTTTCTGTTGGAGGAATTTCTTTAGAAAATCCTTCTCGATGGTTTTCTTATTAACTTTAGCAATTTTCTGAACGATTTCTTCGGCTTCGTCGATGCGATTTTGGCTCACGAGCCATCTCGGTGATTCCGGAACAAACCTGCAAGTTTTACAAATATGAAAATTACAAAAATTACCAACAAATCATTAATATTTTAAAAGTGTTTTTTAATTGTTCCGACTTAAAAATACGTAGGATTAATACCTATATCCTTGCCTCTCGTCATTGATAGCTTCACAAGAAGCTGGAATTTACAACGTTTAAATAACAAGATAGAAAGTGAACAAACGTTAATACCATAGAATCTTTTCCAGGCTAATTTCGAAAAACTTTCGTTTAAGGAAAATGATAATGATAAGAATATAAATAAACTTAAAACCAAGTTAAAAACATGATTTTTATTTTCTAACCATAAAAGCCAGAAAATCCTTTTTTTAAAACATTTGAATCGAGGAAAAGAAAACCTTTTTCCTAATTAAGAAAGGATGTTTCTACTTTGTCTTCATTTTAGACAAGTTTTGTATAGTTTTTCTTATTTAATAATAGTATTTAGTACTCATATGTACTAAGAATAAAGACTTTACAAAATTTAATTTTACTTTCCCGGCTCTGTTATATATAACAGAGGAAAATATGGCGACTGGTGAAAAATTGACTCGCAAGATTTTTATATTTTCGGACTCAGGGAAACTTGAAACATCGAAAAATGCAAAAAAAAAATGAGGGTTTTTTTTCTGTATATATGGATGTTAGTGTGTGGGGGGCACGATTTCGTTCGCCCACTTTGAAGCTTAATAACTCCTGGGCTTTTTGTCGAAAATTTTTGAAATTTTGCAGGGAAATTTGTGTATTGGGGATTAATGATATTAACGTTTGGTGGTTAAAGGTCGAGGGAGTTAATAACTCCTGTGCCTTTTGTCGAAAAGTTCTGAAATTTTGAAGTTTGTGTATTAGAGAGATTGATGCTATTAAATTTTTGTGAATAAAGGTGGAGGGGGAGGAAGATAAAAGGCATCGTGAGTATCTCCAGCAGGTTTGGACTTAATGACGATTTTACTCGTTATTAGCATTTTCAATTTTTTTTTTTTTTTAAATAAAACCTATCCATACCCTCAAAATTAAGCATTTATAATAGTTAAAAATATAAAAAGTTTTTAAATAAAATATGATAACAGATGGCGTCACCAAATGTTACCGGGAAAGTTAAGCAACTCGTTGCTGAATTTTTTCCTATTATGTCTGAAGATACGACTTTTACTTTTCGAATTTCTCACCATTGATAGGTATACTTAGAACCTTAGTAATCTAGTATTCATAGCTTATATAAATAAGACCCCCTTTAGTATTATTTCTTTATTCGTAAATGCATACGCCGATGATATTAAACTTGTCTGTAGTTGTCATCATACATTACATAGCGATATTAATAAAGTTAATACCTTAAGGATGTTGAATTTACAAATAAACTTTAGCAATACTAAAACATTGATCTACAGCCTGGTGAGAGCACCAACTCGCAATACCTTTTTTATTGATAATCAAAGATTGGAAATCGTCGATAGAGTTCGGGATCTTGGTGTTACATTTGATTCAAAACTCTCATTTAAATTAAACAGCATGTAGAAAATTTAATCAAAAAAGTTTCAATTTCTAGGGTAATGCTATTACGAAATTTTAGAATAGTTTCTAGTAAAAAAAAATCCAGCAACGAGTTGCTTAACTTCCCGGCAACATTTAATACAGCGCGTGTGGCGTCATCTGTTATTATATTTTATCAAAAACTATTTATACTTGTAATTATAATAAAATGGCAAAAACCTTAATTTTGAGGTTAGGAATGAATTTTATAAAAAAAAATTCTAAATGCTAATAACGACCCTACTGGAAATACACACGACCCCGTTTACTACCCATCCTCTCGAGCTTTAACCACTAAAATTTAATAGCATCAATCTCCCTAATAAACAAACTTCCATGAAAAATTTCAAAAATTTTCGACAAAAGGAGCAAGAGTTATTAAGCTTCAAAGTGGGTTTATGAAATCGTGCTCTTAAACACACTAACATCCAGAAATAAATACTGAAAAACTAAACAAAAGAAAAACACCAGATTTTTTGCATTTTTGACGTTTCAAGGTTTCCCCCCCCTGAGTCCAGAAAAGTAAAAATCTTAGCGGGTCATTTTTTGACCGATTCCCATCCTTTCCCTTTGTTATGTATAACAGAGCCGGGAAAGTAAAATAAATAAATAAATAGTATTATGTAATGACTTCGACCGTTTTGATTTCATCACGTGCGAATGTAGGATACGATTAATTTTGTTTCTTTCAGTTAAGTGAAAGGAACAATGCAATTATAACCCATTGAATGGATTGTTTTCGATGATTACTTCACGAAACTCTGCAAAGAAGGAAAATAAAGGTTACGTGACAATTTGTATTAGAAATTTGACTCGATAGCGAAAACAATTCGTAGTTTAATGTTTATTATACATGATATCAATCGTATCACGTGATATCTTTTTAATGCTGTTCGCATAACTACACAGCATACACTCGAGTTTACTTAGAAATTTACGTGGATGGATTGAAGCAGAGATGTCGAGCCTCATTATTGATTCCCCGGTTTCTCTCATTTTAAGGCCTTCTTAGTGCTAGCAGAATAGAAAAGACTTTTTAAAAATAATTTATTGAATGCAAGTGTGAGCAGCACATTCTACTTTAATTAAATGTGCTGCTCACGTAATTTATCAAACACTTAAAAAATTCCAGTCAAATAATATATAAATTAATTTTTAAGAATTCAGAAAAAAGCTGCTTAACTTTTCTGAACTGGCAAGAGTTATAAATTGTGAGGTGCAATCTGTTATGAGTTTCTATTTTGAAAAGTTTTTGTATTATTAACTGTTGTAAAATGGCAAAAGGCTTAATATTGAGGGTATTGATGAGTTTCATAAAAAAAAAAAAAAAAAAAAATAAATTGTAACGAGTAAAATCTTTATTAAACCCGACCTTACTAGAGATAAAACACACAATAACCTTTATCTCTTCATTTCCAGGACCTTTAACTACCAAAATTTAATAGTATTAATCCCTCTAATATACAAACCTAAAAATTTCATAATTTTCGACAAAAGGCACAGGAGTTATTAAGCTTCAAAGAGAGTGAACAAAATCGTGCCCCCGCAAACACTAATATCCATATATACAGAAAAACTTCCAAACTTTTTTGTATTTCTTGATCAACATTTTAAGGTCTACTGAGTCCAAAAGTGAAAAATTTTCGGGGAGGTCAAATTTTTTTAATAATTTAATGATTTAATGATAATATATAGCAGCCGAGAAAGTAAAAGTCAAAATTACTTGTAAGTCTCTATCGTAATTAACCAATTTTGCAATTAATTAACCAAATTTGAAAAAATTACAGGACCTTTAAATTACCACTGTCGTGTCTGCTGTCTGTCCGTCTGTCTTTTCTTAATCTAGAAAACGGAGTTAGATAGATGAGAGATGAGACAAGATGTGAAAAGCGTAGGAACAGGAGACCCGGATTAACTATATAGGAACATCCGATGCAAATTGGGAGTCACATTATTTCAATTCAAAACTTTTCTCCGAAAGGTGTTAGATAGATAACCGACTCGACTCTATTATTAAAGGAAAAATATGATGTACAGGGGCAATCCGCTACTAATTTAAAGTGGAGAGCATATATTTTAAATTAAATAAAGTAAAAATGTGATTAAGAATTGCAGTTTCGATGTCACAATAAATAATTGCTCGTTAAAAATAAACATTGATTAGATAACAAGGAAGGAGAATAATGGATTGTTAAACTCGAGAGTAATCTATATTAATGAATAAGTTTATTATGCAGATTTTTTAATTTAAAATTTGTTAATAAATATTAAAAAAGTAGTAAATAAATTTGAGAATTATTTTTAAAAATTTCAGCAAAATATTAGTATTTTTACTTAGCTATTTTGATACTATTTGTTGAAACTATTACAACTACAAAAGTTACAAAATTGTACATGATTAAGAAATTTTCTTAAAATTATCTTTCTACGCATTTATTACATGTAAAGTATAATTATATATGATTATATAAAATGATATACAAATTTTCGTACTCACCACCAATAAGCTAAAATTGGTATAAATGGCACACTACACATAAGTGATATGTAAAACCAATCCCTTAATAAATATGCTGCTGCAGTGTATACGATTAGAGCCACAGAGAAAAATATTCCGCAGATCATCCCTATAATGCATCGTTTTTCGGGTACTGTTAATTCTGTAACTATAATAAAAGTGTAATACTTATTAATTAATAAACGTACTACTAGTAACAATTAATATAGCTATAAGATACGTACTAAGAATAAAGGGGGTGAGATAACACGAAGCACAGGTAAAACCTAAGATCCCTCTAAATATAATGTACGCCGTGTAATTAGGTGAATAAGAAGACGCCAATCCGAATAAAATGGTGAAGAAGAGCATAATGAACATACATGGCTTCCTACCCCACCTGTAATATCATTAATATGTTAATTATAAATGTATAGGGTCTTCCAAAATGAATTCTACCAATTACCTGTGTATTAATTATTATCAGAGAAGTATGAAGTGTAAATCAATCGATAGAGTAACTGCCCCAGTTTCATTTTCCTCTGTATTCAAATGTCATGTTGCCTACTACCACTAGGAAGCGCCGTAAACCAAAATTTGTGTGAAAACCTATTCTAGAGAATAGGAATCACTCATCACTGTGCAACTTCTTGAGTAATTTGCAGGAGCTGAGGAATATCGGTTTGATGTATGACACGAGGTACACACATTGACGAATTGCAATTGACAAATATGGAACTTGGAGAGTTTTTCAAAGTTTTAATTAATGTGCAATACCTTACAACGTTCTCGGATAATAATTAACGTAATTACAACAATTTAAAATGGTAGCATTCTTTTTGGAACACCCGTACAGTTCAGACCTATAAGAGTTAAGTCTTTTTATACTCACTTATCGCTGACGTAACCGAACAAAAGTTGACTAACGACGCCACCAACGTAGAACATGGAATTGGCAAGTGAACTTTTCCAACTTTCATCACAGACGAGGTCCCACTAATGGAAGATAATGGTAAACTGTTATATAAAACAGAAAATCGTAAAGTTTTAACTGAAAAAAATTATTAATAATATAAAAATATGCGCTTGTATATTGTGCATTTATTTACAGAACATTTAATGAACGATTTTTAAAAATATTAATAACTACGATATCTCGATTAAGCTTATAGTCAGGAATGTTAAAATTACGCAGATTTAAAGGATTACCTCGTAAATTTTACACGGTTTCACTCATGTTGAAATTTCTAAGTGTTCAACACTGTTTACATGCCTGTTCCTAATTATTACCTTCAGTTCATAAGGATAAGCTTTTGATTTAAAAGAAGTGAAGTGTTAGCAAATTTCATTCATGCGTTTTTTCAAGGACTCTAAATACAAATATATTTAAACTTTTATAAAATTACTTTAGTACCCTTTCCTATATAAAGAAGCACCTTTTGACAACGAAATTTGGCACCTGTCTACGTAAATTTTAGTGACTGCCATGTCTATATAACTTACTTCTGTTGTGAAGGACTATTAATTTATATAGAAAGGCTAACACGGTTCCATTTTTAAAACTAAATTTGTGAAAGAATAAAACAGTAAGATGCTTTAACCTGTTTTATATCAAACCAAACATCTAATCCAACCTTTAAACACTCGGTTTAATATCCGAACCCGCCTAACATCCGACTTATATGATGCAAAAGCTTTGATTCAAAGCCATTTGTAATGATAAACAGTCATATATACATTAGAACCTCCGAATAGCGGACACCGTTGGGACCGAGTTTGCCCCTATTTACAAGTAAATATTATAGGTGTCTTATATGAAGGATCTGAGGATAGTAAAAATGTCCGTTAATGGCGGTTTTACTGTTTATGAATTTATCAGAGATAATATGAAACACTTATTATTAGTTCATTAGTTTTTTATGGTAAAGAGTTTCAAACTTTAGACATTTTGATGTTAATTTACGAGTTAAAGTCGGTATAGTTTAAGCAGATTTATTGTTACTCTACGTAAAACATGCAAAGCTTAGAGTAGAGTGTATAGAAGGAAATAGGACGAATATAGCGTTAAATATATAATTATAGCCGATGTAAAAGCTAATAACCAGTTTTCAGGTTTTTAAATACACACGTTACATATTTAAATCCTAAATGGAACACGGTAAATTCGTTCGTTAACGTTTATTCGACTGATAAAAAGTATATTAAAAATTCCTTTAAAAACATTACAATAATAAATTATAGAGTTTAATATGTTTAAAATTAAAATTTTAAATAGATTAATTATTTTATAAAATATATATTTTTGCTGTTTTTTTTCCGTTATATACTCGATCAAGGCATAACCTATATACAATAACAGTAATGATGTAATTATAAAAACTAAACTATTGCATAGAATTGCATAAAAACAAGTCAAAAAGTTAAATTTGATTTCGAAAGTAAAATGTAAGGTTAGTTACAGTTAAATAGGTTTCTCGTAAAGTGATTTTACGCTTTCGTTCAAAGAAATTTAATACACGAGATTAAATAAAGTTAAAAATTGCTACCCTTTACAGGTAAAGGTTGGCAATTTTTAAATCATCCTTTACCTATAGGATGGAAATTCGTAATGCCTATAGTAAGATCTACATATATTACAAGTAGTTATGCAATAAAACTTTCTGGATATTTACTACAAAAACGAAATATAAGGTTAGGTGTGGTTCCGAGAAATTTTATAGAAGAGATTAAAGAAATTGTCCCGAGAAATTTTATAGAAGAGATTAAAGAAACATGAAACTCACCTTAGTTATTAGCGTATTATAATAAAGCGATCTGTCGTAATTCCATCCGAATTTGCAGTCAGTCACGGGCCAACTTTTATTGGAAGACGACACGTTGTTAATCAGATAATCCAAAGCCACTTTCGTATAGTTAACATCGTACATTTTACACTGACTCGGTTGCCATTCTCCTTCTCTCTCCTCCCAAGGAATACTCAGATTCTTGACCTCATCTAAAGCAATCCTATGATCATCCAGTTCTGGTATTTTGCACCAATGTTTAGGGGTGGCGGATACGAAAACGTGGCTCAAGAACATAAACGCCAAAGGAAAATTTGTAGGTATTAATAAAGCGCAGTACAATATGATCTGGTATCGTCCGAAGCCACCCAAAGTTGGTAAAACATCGTCGAAATCCATCTTAGCAGTGATATTGCCACCTTAATAGAAACAGGCTGTCATGAGTAGAGATCTGCATATATTAAAACCGGTTTGTAATCAAACTTGTATATCAAGGCATTGAAACTGTAGAGTTCATGTGATCTAGCGTGAAATCAAGCTATTTAAATGTTCTTCAAAGGATCGTCCTTGCGTGACGTCGAAATTCCTCAGGTTTATTTTCCATTGACGATTTTATAGTAAATTGACCATAACCACATCTATAATTCCTACATGCGCTGTATTTTCCAGGGTTATTCTCACCACGGCTGCCAACGAAATGTCATTATTTAATTTATTCATAACACTATATACTTGATAATCACCTATCAATTTTCGTAATTTATGATATTTCATAAACAATTCATTGTTATTAGTTATACTTTATGTAACCATAGATATTATCCTGTCAAAGTCTGAATTACGAGTTGTTTTTTTTGCCATTTAACTTATGTTTTTAGGTAATTTCAGATAATAAATGTTTAAAGGGGAAAAAGATTTTAAATTTAAAATTGCTTTATTATATGCAACTTTATAGGACGTTTTCAACGATAGGTGTCACAGTAATACAATACAGGTGTGTATATTTCTCCGAATAAATGCGTTTTGTTGCCATCTTTTGATAGTTTTTAACAAATTTGTTGTAAAATTTAATATAAAATCTAAATTTATTATTACGCCCGTGAAAAGGTATATAATTTATATACATATATATATATATAAATTTTGCCAACAGGTGTAAAGATTTCATTTTTCCTGGTTTGTACAGTACATACACAGGAAAAATGAAAGTTGCACCTTGCACCCTATTGGTAACATTAATTTATATGTAAAACAAACAAATTTTAAATATGAAACGCGATATACACTTCGAAAACATAAGAAATATAATATTTTAACGTAAAAACAAATTCTTAGAAACAGACTTAAGAATGTAATAACTTAAAATATAAATTTGTATAAATAAATTTGCAGTGTTTACGCTTATTATTCATATAAAAGGTGTACTGTACATACCTAAATACTTAGATATAACGTCGAAAGCTAAAAGTTACATAATGGAAATTTAGATAATTTCAGCTTTTATGAGAGACAAAAATTAAATCCCAAATCATCTATTCTTCATTAATTACGTGTTCAGTTTCTACGCTTTTCTGTCTATAATATTTTATGGCATATGTTTATGAAAATTTATAAACTAACATGTGTATGGGCGTGTTTTGACTTTCAATGCTGATTTTAACATATGTTTTATCCTATTGGTTTGACGAATTTAAACTTTATTAAGCACATAAGTATATAAATCTTATTAAATACTTGTGAAGTATATTAAAATGTAATACTGTTTTCCATTCCCATAATTGACCCAATTGTGAGCCAGGTTTTCCGTAATGGGCGTAAATTTATCCATCGTTATAAGATACTGTATTATACAATTTATTAATCTAGTTTAATTTTTTTAGCTGGTCTAGTTAGAAGAGAGCCATCTTGTTTGAGTTGGTCTCACAGAGAGTCCCCCAAATTTAACCTTTTACGTAAAACACATAATTTAATAATGTTATTCTTTTGTTAAGTTGACAATTCTATTTTTTATTGGTTTAATTGGCTTTATTTATATATTTTTTTGTCGCTCTTGAATAGGGGTTGATCCACACCCTATCCTTAGACATGAATGAATTTTAATTATGACATATAATATTCATCAATAGAAAATATTAAACAGCGCTCATATCTTGTAAGGTAAAATTACATATAAAAGAAACCTATAGAATTCAGTTGAAAAATTTATAATTTTACATAAAATTACATATGCTAGTGCATAATAATAAAACATAAAGAGAACTTTCAATAAGTTGTATATTTATGTAGGTTATTATATACTATTATTATTTTAAAATAATTTTAAAAATGTTTCTGTTGTAAAAAGTATAAAATTAAAGAAGCGTCGTTTAATACATATTTACAAGTAAATAATAATAGTTCATAGATTTTTATGATTAATCTGATTGATTTCGTACATGTGCATAAAGGTGGGCGAGAATTTAAATCATACGGTTAAAATTCATGATTCAAAATCTGTTGTAGTGATTTATCACTTTTTGAATTCGTTTTTTTTAATAATTTTTGATTTTGCATCATATTATTGATGAGTATTTCATAATAGTAACATTAAAAAATGTAAATAAATAAAACATTGGACGAGATTGTGTTAAAGACAATGGTAAAGTAAGCAATTATCTTAATTCTCGAGCTTTTTGAAGTTTATTTATTCTTATCTACTTTATCCCATCTCTCAGGATGCGGTTGAACCCATTTTTTAGTGGCCGAGTGGATAAAAACATTCAACACTGGTAGTTGGTCGCAGGTTCGCACCTGGCCAAACGGGGCCGGACACGTGAAGTTTTCCGGGTCTTCCTCGGGTGCCTGACACCTAAATAGGAGGCCAGTTTCCCATAGAAAGTCCCCCCGAAAAGATTTGGTTTGGTATTACGGGATACGGCAGTCACATGGGCAATCAGGCTAGATTTTTTTCCCATTGCCTGATTGCCCAAGTGGTTACGTTGCCGTCGTCGTGTTGACACTCAACTAGACACTATAGTTACTAATAACATCATATCGGATTTGCGACCCCTTTCAAACTGTTGAATATCTAACATTTATAAATTTAATTAAGGGTCTTGCACAAGGTAGAAGTGTTATCTGTGGAAAAATACTATATAACAAGATACATGGTCAACGACAGTAGATATCTAGACCTGTAATAACCGAAACTCTCGATGTTCGAGTTAAGGCCATACGATCTTTAAGACGTCAGCCTACCGCTCTTCGAAAATCTTCAGGAATTTTTCGGAGGATGAACATATTGTCACGGACTTAAACGAAATTATTTCCTGAGGAATTGAATAATAAATAGAAGTAATTATTATATTTCTCCTTATTTGAAGTCTGCTTGTCACATCTTGAATTTGATAGGAATCAGCTAAGTACAGTGCATCGGAGTACAGCGCAATTACGAGACTACTGGATTGACCGATTATTTCAAACATAATGCTTTCATTAAAAACCATGTGACTTTTTATTAGACATAACTTAGAAGATTTAATTTTTGGTTTTACTTTTAAATCGTCAAAGACATCTCATGATTTTGATTTTTCATTTAAAATACTTTCAAAAGTGATTTCTCACATCATCACATACATACATGTAGGAGGAAACAGTCAGATCAACATATGACCTACAATGTTCTATATTATATTGTATATAAATCTATTTATTCTGTGCTTTTTAATCTATTAAAACATATTATATTGTTTATTTTAAAGAAATTACGTAAATATATATTATACAGAAGTAAAAAATTGAATTAAATTGAAAAATTAAATTAATTGAAGTTATACATTTTTCCTGGTTTTGTTAGAAATATATTTTCCTCAAATGATTATAGAAAATTAACCTTCCTTTGTATCAAAGGAAATGTTGTTTCGAATTCTTTTCATCTAAAAAACACAAAATAATTTTTAAAAATAATAAAATTTAAAATACAGTTACATATTATTATATATTATTTATATATTAAGGCTATATAAGTATAAAATATAAAGTTAAACATGCAAAAAACGGAATCGTACCGATCCGAAGAATTTTCCTTGTTCAGACAGGTTTCCGTTTTATTCATGTTTTACTGTAGTTAATTAAAGATTATATATATATAATTAATATTAAAACTTATTTCTGTGATTACAAAATAATGTTTTTAGCAGTTCCTTACAATCCTTCAATATTGTTCCCATTACAGTACGTAACCTTGTACACAATGCGATAATCAAAAACGCGCCACTCTTTCGTGATGTGGGCATAATTATATCTGGGATTTAAAGTGAAAAATCGTAAATATGGGGGTCATAATAATGGGTTGTTATTTTATAATAAAAACTAGAAGATAAGCCCGGCGGTGACCGGGAGAAAAAAAAATTAAAACGATAACCGTTCAAAGAGATTGATTTATTTTAGCCTACCATTGTCACGAAATTGCCATTTCGTGACAATGCCATTCGTACAATTTCGTGACAATGCCATCACAAAATCTTAAATTTTTCAAGATATCGTATTTCGAATGCCAGCATAATGCTTGTCTATAGACAGAAGGAAGGGGGTTGAAATAATTCAACCAGTGCCGTAACTAGGCAGAAGCAACAGGTGCACCCGCACAGAATGCATGTATTTGTTTTATTAATTTCCCAAACCTAATTAATTAAGGGGTATAAATGCAAATTCCTGCACAGGGCACAGGAATGGCTAGTTACGGCACTGAATTCGACTAAAAGTATTTGTTGTCCTCCTCCTCCCGGAAGAGAGGATGCTCAACGAATACTATTTAATACTGGTCTACTATTAATATTTGAGAAGTGATCCATGTTAGACAGGTTGTGGTGGCCCTGCACGTGATTGAAGTTGGTAACCTTTAACGTCCAAAAGACTTATACAAGACTTGTTTAAGTAAATAAAATCCTGTAAAAATGCCAAATAATTACTTTTAAACGATAATAAAATGTTAAAGTTATTAAGTGATTTGAAAGATTGCAAATATGAAAAATGTACGTGTAAAACCCATTTTAAAAACAGTATCAGAATGCTTATAAACTACGTGGGAAGTAATTCTTTTTACTTCTATGTCCTTAACGTTTTATAAATAAGACTTATTATACTGCTATAGTTTCAGATTAGCAAAGATAGTTGTTTCTATTTATAAAAAAGGTTCAAGTAAACAATATAAAACGTCAGTAAGCAAACAGGAAAAAAAATTAGTATTTAAATAATCTACAGTCGAAATTCTAGTGCAGTGGAAGATGTAAGCAGCAGAAAATAAAGATATTTTGTTTTACCGCTCGACTAAGACTTTCCACGGAAACCTGCCTATACGGGAAAAATTCTTCAGAACAAAACGATTTTTTATGTTTAGAGAAACCTGTTAAAAACGGAAACCTACCAAACCGCAAAACACATTCGGTACGGTGCTATTCCGATTTACGCAGGTTTTAGTGTATATGTTACCGCTAAAGCTCGGAAACTCGTTAATCTGCAGATTAACTAGCGTGATCCGTTAAAGTTGCTAAAATTGTTCTATTTCTCAAATTACCTAGGTAATGTGCAGATTATCTAGGTAATCTGCAAATTACCTACTAGGCACTCGGTAAAGTGAAAATAAGATCTTTGCTGGAACAACAGCAACGTTTCTGTACGCTTAAATTAACATAATGTTCTTTATTTAATTTTCGATATCTAAAGAATCAAGTTAATACAATCAAACAATCGA